ATATAACTGAGCCCTAAGTCCATCCGCGGACTTTTCTACTATCTTACCCTGTCTATCATACATTTTACCCCCTACCTCTGAGACTTTCCCTGCTGCCTTATCCTTAAGAAACTCGAGACAGTCCAAAGCCAGATGCACGTCCCTCTTACAGTAGAAACATAGCTGATCTACTTTTCTCTTAAACTTCATTTTTCTGGGCTGAGGAGATGGCGATGAAGGAGATCCTACCAAGGTACTAACAACCCCCTGTCGCTCCGTCCCAGGAACCGGTCCCCCAGACCCAGATCCAGTAGCCCAAGGTCCTAGTCTGCTTCTCAATTCCTCTGTTGCCGGGATGTACTCAGGCGTGTCCAACCTCTGAGGTCTCCTCTCGAGTGTCCCTCCTGGCACTGCCGTGGGCTGCTCCTCAACTTCCTCTGATCCATACTCAGGTGTACCCATCCTCTGAAGTCTGTTCTCTACGGCACCCTCCGCCTTAATCCCCAGCTCTCTCTCAARAGGCTCCTCCATCCTCTGCTCAGGTGAAAACAAACTCACCTCCTCCTGCATATCATGCACCGCCTCAAGGAGCACGCCCATAGATCCCTCTGCTGAGCCATGAGCCGGCTCACTGCCAGATGGTGGCAGCCCCTCCTCTACTGCCAAAGGTACGACTGGGCCTGCCGCCGCTACTGGCAGCGTCGCAAGCTCGGTAGGGGCTCTAAACTCGAACGCCTCTCTCTCTGCCTGTCTCTGGGCTCTCGCCTCCTCTGGCTCCAGGATAGCTCTCCCCATAGGTGGCTCCTGGCGAGGCTCCGCTGCAGGTGGCTGTCCTGGTAATCCCTGTCCTGGCTGCCTCTGCTCTCTTTGCCTGCTGCTCTCTGGCCTGTCCACCCTTTCCTGGGTTTGCTGCCTCAGGCTCTCGATGATAGCTGCCTGGCTGGCCACCATGGTCCTGAGTTCCTGAATTTCCATCTCCATAGCCTCCAGGCGTACTCCATGGCTTACTTCCTTTATCTTCTTCCCTGTCAGATCGCCCTCCAATAACAAGTGCCGGTCAAAAGTGGTCTTGGCCAGGAACTTGATTTTACGATCTAACCTCTCTTCCGCCTTCCTGGTTACCCAAAACCCGGCTCTGACTGGCGATGGACTCCTCTCCTCTCTGCTCCCAGAAGTCCCTCCACATCTCAGGGATCTCCGGGGTCCTAGCGGGTACGCTGGGTGGCTGACCCGGGAGTGTTCCTGCTGCCTCTGATCGTTGCCCCTCCTGTTGCTGCTCCGGGAGCTCCCCCGCCGCCTCCAATCTCTGCCTCTCTTGCCATATCTCATTTATCCGTCTCGTTCTTCTCGCCTTCTTTTCTTCAACCGTTTCTCCAGCTGGCGCCCTTTCCCTCGTGCGGAGGTCGACCCTCTTCGGGATTTCTGCTTCCATCTCCTTCTCTGGTTGGCACGGCTCCCGGCGCGGCTCAGCAGATGCTGG